CTGCTACTGCTACTGCTACTCCTAATTCTTCTACTACTACTCCGACTCCTACTACTGCTACTACTACTGCAACTGCTGAAGCACTGCAACTAATAGTAATGCTGACAGAGTTGGGGCCTTTGGTGTCAAAGCTTCGGCATTCAGGGATTAAAGGTTGGAGGATTCTTTTCGAGCTATGGCTAGTGTGGAATCCTATTTGATCCGGCGGGCCTCTATAATGCGTTTGTTTTGCTTATTGCAGCCGCTACCAAAATTTGGGTGGGGGGGTGTCTTCAATGCATTTTTGGCCGGCTGGTTTTGTTTTGTTGTGTTGCTGTCTTTCTGCTAAGGGTCTGTCTTCAACACCCACAGTTTTATTCCCTGAAGCCCGACCTAAACCCCCATCTAAACCCTGAAACCCTGACCTTGAAGCCCGAAGCTCTCCCCAGATGCAGACCCCAAGCCAGCCCCCAAACAATTGAAACCCCCCAGTTCCTTTCAAAGGTAAACCCAGACCCCAAGCCAACCCAAGCCCCAATCTACCGAACCAAGCTCAAGCGGGTCACGGGTAGCAGTAAACAAGCCGTGCAACAATGGTGGGTGGGGGGGGGAGGGGGGGGAGAGGGCCATTAAACAGGACGCTGCATTACCGTCAAATGCACCTGTTCGTCGAGTAACCGAGCACCGACCACAAACGGTTAAGTTGGCCAACCCGACAGCTTGGCAGACTCTGCTTACGGGTTGCTTGTGAGATTTGGGTTCCCGCAGGCATGTTTCCTGCAATAAAGGCCTCTCTAAGCTCCATGACAGGTTAGCCCGGGGGTCACCTTGCTCTTTGCATGCGATACACTTCGCTGCCTTGGAATATGAGATGCAGAGGTACCTGATGCGTTTTACCAAATGCCAATGACAATGAGTTGCCCGGCGATCGAGCGAATTTGAGCGTGAAAATCCCTGCACAGACTGACTGTGGGAGGCCTTAGCAGGCGGGTCAACGAGCACTCAAACATCGCTTCAGTCGCTACGAATCCCGTGACAGCCCGTAGTCTTGGACGTACTCCTGTAGTAGCCGATCCCGTGATCCATCGGTCCTTCAGCGTCTCAAACTGTTTCGCCTCCATGGCTCGCTGGAGGAAACAGAATCGATGAAGTTGACGAGCCGATGGAGCTCCCGCTGCTGGGCCCCTAGCATGAGCGTTGCGACAGCCAAGGGGATTATTGTAGTCATATCTCCACACATATGTGTATGTGTATATATGCCCCTTGGACTTAGGTGCCGCAATCGCTTTCGCTGGCGGAGTTTGAACAGTTGAACACACCAGGCTGGTGAGCCGCATGCAGCAGCCAAACAAGCACCATAAGCATTTAACCATTTGAGTCTCTGAGCCAACCCATGTCGAAGCCTGCACAGCGGTGGCCTCTATCGAGCGGAAACTCACAACAAGCATGCTGAAAGAACTGCAAGAAGGATCTGACGGCGCACGTACTGGCAAAACTCGCGTTGGGATTGATCAGCATGAGCACGTGCATCGCAAAAGCCCATACTGTGTCATTAGTGTCTTGTTTGCTGCAAATACCCCACTTCGTGTAGCTACGTGCTCCTGAACAACTTCCAATGTCTGTGCATCCAGTACGATTTCTGTGCCAATTCGCCGATAGAGACATTGACACAACAGCTTGCGTTGTCACGAGTCATGCGCCCGTATGAGAACGGATTTCTACTGACAGACGTGATGCTTAGACACTTGCATAGAATCGCAGCTTGTGAAATGCTGTGGGCCATTGGCGGATGCGCAATCAACGTTGAGCAGCTGTAATCGATAGTTTAATCTCTTCGTGGCGATGGTCGGCTCACAGTACCTAAACGGCAAAGCAAAAAAGACTGCACACGAACGTGACGTCGAGCATAAAGAGCATGCGCAACAGCGGGTGGGTCCTACACAGACTCACCAAAAGGATGGCTCGAAGAAGGGTCCACAAACACATCGCCTGTAACGAACCCCAACATACCGCAAGTGGGGACGCTAAGCAAACGGCCTTAAAACATCGCCGGGGCTGCTGGAATCGCCCCGAATCCTACTGCCATGCACTAGCCTTGTGGATGGCAGGTGTGCCGGCAGTATCCACGAGTTGCGGCTTCCGGGCCTGCGTATACATGAGGGCGATGAAGCTGTTTGCAAGGCACCAGGATCATGCGTAACCAGCAGTCTTGCTAGTATTGCAAGACTATTTTGCAATGCTTAGCTTGTCTACACGAACTACAATGACAAGCTTTCGTTCTGCTTATTTGTTGCTATGGGCTAGACGGACCATGTCAAGGAACTAACACAAAAAGCACCGTAACAGGCTTCGAACCAAAACCAAATCTGGAGAGCATGCAACATAGCTATATAGTTGCTGAAGCTTGAGGTCATGACATGAGAGTGTTTGTTTGTGTTAGGGCTCAGGTGTGATTTTAGGGTCTCGGGTTCCGGGTGCCCAGCAACAAAACAGAGCCCACCCCGTCAACCAAGCCGAGCAGCATCCGGCTTCCAAAGCACCCAAGCCCCACTCATCCGCCTGCCTTTCGGGAGTTCTCCTCTGTGCCCAAGCGCGGAGCACGGGGCCTTCGATGCTCACTGAGTTGCTGGGCACTCATCCATACATCCGAAACCCTAAAAACATAAACTGCACCACACTGAAAGGGTCCAGGGCTTCGCCATCCACATTCTGTACAGCAAGGAGTCATGACTGCGAGCACAGTCGAAGAGTCCTGTGAACGAAGATGCGACTGGCTCCCCACGGAAGCCTAACCCTAAACCTCCAAACCCTAAACCCCTAAGCCCTAAACCTCTAAACCCCTAAATCCTAAGCCCTAAACCCCTAAGCCCTAAACCTCCAAACCCTAAACCCCTAAGCCCTAAACCCCTAAACCTCATGCAGAAAAAAAATGAAAACGCGAGCCCGCGACTCGGCTGCGACCGACTTCGCCAAGGCCTCGCCGCACAGTCCAGCCAATGTTTTTGGGCTTATGAAAGGGTTCAGGGTTTGGGGTTTAGGGGTTTAGGGTTTCGGGTTTAGAGGTTTAGGGGTTTAGGGCTTGGGGCATAGCTTTTAGGGCATTTTAGGGTTTCAGGCTTGGGATTTAGGGCTTAGGGCTTAGGGATCAGGGTTCAGGGTTTGGGGTTTAAGGGTTTAAGGGTTTAAGGGTTTTGGGGTTCAGGGTTTGGGATGTGGGGCTTAGGGTTGAGGGACCTCAACTGTACCTTCCTCAACTTTAAGCTTTGGGGTGGCCTGGGTCGTGCAGCGACAGCATTCGCAGCGCTGGTGCATACGGCTACAGGGCTTCCGGACTTGCGTCCTTGTTTTAGCGCTTGAGTGTGTTTAGAATCTAAGGACGCTTCTTGAGTGTCTGAGCCTACACCATGGATCCTACTTAAACCATTGCCTTATCTGACCGCCACAACCCGGATGTGTGCCGTAGTCGCCTACTGTAGGGTACAAACCGAAGGATAAGCTTAAATCTAGACCTCAACACCTTAAATCTTAAACCAGCTAGAACACCACAGAAGGCAATCAAAACCGCTCAGGGTAACTGTCTGGACCACGAAACCCCGACAAAAACCCACCCTAAATCCAATAGCCCAACACCTGCCGTGGATCCCAAGACAACCCTGAAACCCCAAAACCAAAATCCCGAAAACCCGAAGCGTGATTAAGCCCTGAACCTTTGTGTCTCAGTTCTCTAAACCACCCAAACCATAAAGCCCAAGCCCTACACTTAGTGCGAAAAAATAAATGCAACTTCACTTACATCCGCGACCTTCAAGCCCTGAGCCTCAATCTTGCCCCCCCGAAACCCCGACGAATGCCTCTAAAGAACCCCGACAAAAAATCTCAAAAACCGACAGACAGTGTTCGAAAACCGGTAAACTCACCCACATCTTGCAAATATATATATATATATATATATACATATATATATATAATTATATATATATATATACTTATTTATTTATTTATATTACCACAAGAAACCAGCAAGAAAGGCTCAAACATCCAGACTGCTCCGCAGAGGTCCGGGACTGCCTCTGCGGCGGCTCTCGCCTTCTTCTCGGAGGCCAAGTTTGCCCGCAGCCTTTGGGTTTAGGGGCTTAGGGCGTAGGGCTTTAGGGTTCGAGGTTTAGGGTTTGGGGTTTTAGGGTTTAGGGTTTTAGGGTTCGGGGTTTAGGGTTTAGGGTGCAGGATTTGGACGGGTTTGGTTATTCTTTCCAGGGTTTTTGGGTTTGGATTCAAGTTTTTGAGGCGAGTAAGGACGAGAGTGATAGTACGAATAGCACAACACAAGGTTGAAGCTGTTCCTCCAGTCATCCTCCGGAAACCCCAAACAGGAACTATAAACCCTAAGCCGCCTACAAATCCAATAACTACCTCGTCTTCCATGAAAACCACCATAAAACCATTGTGAACCCTAACCCCTAAACCCTAAACCTCTTTAAAATTAAAAGAGAACTGCTTCTGACTGCCGGGGTGCTTCTGGAGCTCCCCCGGGCCATGGTGCGCGGCGACTCTGGAGGCCCCCTCCTCTCTCGGGCGTCGTAAGATTGTGCGTTGGGTTTCGGACTTTGGGGGTTTAGGGTTTTGGGGGGGTTTAGGGTTCCTTCCTTCTCTCCTTTCTCTCCATGGTTTTAGGGTTTA